CCGGCCAGCGGAGGCTCCAGCAAGATGCTTCGGTGGCTGGAGGAAGAAGAGGCATGTCCTGAAAGCAGGCTGGGGAGCTGCAGGTAAGAGGAGCAGCATGTGTGCAGGAAAAGGGACCCTCCACAGCCCATCATATATCCTGCACAGCCCACCTTGGAGTCTCTGTGCAAGGTCTATGGTGGGCTCTTGGGGGGGCTCTGGGGGGGATTGCAGGGACTCAGGTGGGCAGTGCAAGGTCTATGGTGGTCTCAGCCTGACACCCTTTAGAGTTCACTCACACTGCTTCGAGTTGGCCCATACACATCCGTGCGGGTGCAGATAGGATCCATCCTGTCTGCGTATTAGTATGGACATCCGCACCCATGCAAATGTGCAGTTCAGTTGAGCGTACGGCCGCGTCCTCCCATAAAGCACAGGCTGCTGCCTACAAATCACACGCAGCAGCCTGTCCTTCCCGGGAACGGCCCGATACGTCCGTGAACGTCCCACGAATCTGTACGGGCCGACTCTAAGCAGTGTGAATGCGGCCTAATAGCGCAATCTGTCAGAAGCTGCATCCAGCGACTTGACAGGTTAAGCATAAGGTGGGGGGGGGGGGGGTGCCGAGTGTTGTCTTGCCTAGGGGAGCACGAAACCTAAATACACCGCTGCTCCTCGGCGGCTGATGAGAAAAGAGAACTGACACGGCGATCACTGCTGTTGGAGTAAAATCAGTGAAGCACTGCGCCTGTCCTCACTCTGGTGTTCTATCGAAAGCTCACTGCACAGAGCTCCAGTCTTTCTGAGCACCAGAGGTAGTTAGAGATCTCAATGAGTTGGAGCTTTAGATAGAACACCGGGTCCTGCAGCTTCCTCCGCCCACCTCAGCTGCCATAGGCTGGGAGGAAGACTGCAGAGCTGCTACTGGCTGGAAGGACAGCACGGGAGAAGCAGGACACCTGGGGCATGGAGGATACATTGCTTTTTTCTGCATTACACTGCTGGTCTCTGTACTCGGCATTACACCACTGGCCTCTGCATTGTTACTGATCTCTGTTCTCTGTGTCACACCACTGACCTGGCGGAGTTAAGGGCGGGGCACAGTAGGGCGACTGGTGGCGAGTAACTCTTAAGGCCTGGCTAGTAGCTCAGGACTTGAAATTTTGAGCCCTGTTGTAGTATATAGCCTAGTTGGTGCCATAATTAGGCTGTCTTTCTATATGAAAGACTAGGTTGGATCATCAATCATTTACAAATACAAAGGGGCCACGGATCAATGACAAGCAAATTTCTATCTTTTCTTGAAAACTCTCATAAACCAATGCTTTCGAAAGACACATCTTTTACCATTTGCAGATTTTATATTAAGATTTAAAACTAAATGAGGAGTACTGCACAAAAATAAATTGACTGCTTGGCAGAGAGGCTACAACAGTTAAAGCGGACCTTTACACTCAAAAATCGAATTCTACCAATTCATCCCTCTATGTATGATGATTAATAATAACACAGACATGCAAGGTAAAATGCTGTGATTCTAAAATGCTTACACTTGCAGAGCATTCACTTCCTGCTTTAAACGGAAAACATTACTTCAGTTTGCCAAAGCAATGCACACTGGGATTGTCTTGTCATTAGCAGAGCATTGCTGGGAAATCTCATCTCAGTGAAAGGCATTTTCCTACCCTGAGATGATGTGCATGGTCACATGTCCTGGTCACATGTGCCAGAAATCCAGGAATTAATAGGTAAGCTAGTAATAAGAAGACTAGGTAAGAGAAATAAGGTATGCAATGAATACAAAGCCGGCAATTATCTAGAAGTATGTGTTTGTAGATTGTCATTACTAAACATTTCTAAAGGTGCGTTTGTTGGTTTTTTAAAAGATATGGGTAAAGGTCCGCTTTAACATTTAGAAACTGGAAAAACGGCTAACCACAAGTTTAAACATATCAAACATGAGGCAGTGAACAAAGCTAAGCCTAAATCAATAGACGGTGCCAAAGATGAGAGTAATCAGGTTATACCTCATACTGTGGATGACCAGCACAGATTAAGAGAAGTTCCAGGGTCCGCAGGTTTCCAAGATCGTGCCCTGGACTAGACACAATTTTCTCCAAAAAGGTTTCACACAGCTCAGTAAACATCCGACAGTAATTCAACACCCTAAAAAGATAAAACAGAATATGGTCAATCACACAGTTATTTCTTGATTAGACTATAAGCTCACTTTGTCGCCTGTCCTAAAACCACACATCACATGTACACCAAATGTCACCATTACTTCAGGGGTCAACAAAAGCCCTTCCACTCATTCCCCCTTCTGTTTTCTATACAATGCTGAGATTTACTCACTTGCAGTTGAGTGAGCCAACAGAAAGCATGCCATTTGTACTACAGTTTAAATAACATTGTACTGCAAAGTTGTGAGGGAAGGAATATAGGCAGATGCTGAATTTATTTCTACAAGCGAGATGTAACGGAACCACAACAATCCCACTTTAAATAGAGAAGATCTAAAAGATGGAGCCGAGTTTTTGGAGTGAGGTGACAACTAAAGCGCAGCTGAATTCCAGATCTTGGAGTGAGAACAAACATTCTGGAGTGCAATGAACCTTCAGATGATTGTCATACATTTAAACTTCTAAAAGTTCAAAATAAATTTTGTTGAAGCATTTGAGTCAGCATAACTGGAACAAAGTAACATTTTAATGGATTTTATGTCCTAGATAAATTCTGCTGCATGTTTTGTGTAAAGCCATTCCACTTTTATTATACCAATACCATTTGTGTGTGCAATGCATGAAAATGGGAAATACAAAAGATGGAAAAGTTGTCACAAGATTTATTGTTCTTAATACTTTAATGTAAACTATCCACTGATGGCCAAACCCAGTGAATGATCCACATAAATTACTGCTGGTGGATGCAATACCACAGCAGCTATTGACTGTCTGGGGGGGTATAAACTGCTCTTTGCCAACATCTTCAGTAGGGTTGCACCAATATATCGGCCGCCGAAACATATTGGCCAAAAATGGCACTTTTGGCATAATGCCGAAGGTGCCATTTTCTGGCCGATACAGCGGTGCATCTGTTCTTTCTCTCCTCCCCGCTGGGCACTGCTCGGTGTCCCAGCGGGGAGGAGAGAAACTGTCACAGTGTTTCTCCTCCCACACCGCTCAGCCACCTGTCACAGATCAGAGGAGAGCGTTGTCGGTGGAGACAGCTTGCAGTGCTGCCTCCTGTGACAGCTGTCAGGATGGAGAGCGGGTACAAGCAGTCAGTGATCCCTGAGTGTTGTAAATGAGCGGTGGTCCGTGAAGGGACCAGCAGCTCATAGAGTTACTGCTGTTGATTGGCCCCTCAACAGCAGATTAGGTGGTCATAGTCCTGTGATCACAACGAGAGCTGCTCACTGTGATCGCAGAGCCGTGACACCCAGCCAGCTGCTCACTGTGTTTTGTAAACTGCTAGCCGGCTGTGATAGAAAGTATCTCGGAGGAGAATACTCTATTCTCACATATACTGAAGTATCAAAGCCCCTGTAAATAAAAAGAAAACAACCCCTTAGTGCCCCCTAGACTAAAAAGTTAAAATAAAATGTAAAAAAAATAAAAAGGTTTTAATTTAAAAAAAAATGGCAAAATTGCTCAAGTCCCCAGAAGCGAAAACACCTTTTGAAGCTGTGTCACGAAGGGGTTAAAGTGGACTTTTACCCCTTTTGACTAAAGTCACATCACCATACAGCTCTGCAATTCTGAAATGAAATCATTAGCTAAATAAACATTTTTGTTTTATTTACAATTTCTTTTTTTCCACTTCCTGGTCCACTTTGGCACAAATGATGCAGTCGTGTCCAAGCATTGCATCCTGGGAAGGTTACATCAGCAGAGCATTGCTGGGAAATCTCACAAGATCTCAGGGAAAGGGGTTCCTCCCATGATGTGATGACCATATGTGCCAGAGTTCTAGGAAGTAGAGATCTAGTAACCCGCCCTAAGTTAAAATGGCCACTGTCAGGTGACTGGGGAAGAAAAGAAAACTAAGGGTATGCAAAAAATAAAAAGCCAGCAATTATCTAGAAGTATGTGTTTGTAGATGGTCAAGCACTTTGGGAAAGATGGAATTACCATGCAAATCTGGCCCCCTCCCCCCCACTATACTCACCTTTCAGCGATCAGTCCTTCCCCTCTGCCGATACGGGTGTACTATTTGTACCGCATACTGCAGTCCTATGGATTTTAAATTTTGCTTGCAAATTGCGAGCACTCGGTCAGCACAGTCACCTCACTGCGCTGACCAATGAGAAGAGCTTCTTAACATCCTTAAAAACGGTTTTGGTTAAGATTATTTTTTTGTATCGCGACAAGTAGATTTTCATGAGGGACAAGTAGATTGGGCCCCCGCTTTAGTCCTTGGAAAAGTATTTTTTTTTTTATTCCACACCCCGGTTTAATAGAAGCATCAAACAGTCTCAGAAGTTTTCACTATTCAGAGTATTTGACTGCATAAAACAGCTGACCACTGCATAATTACAAAGAGGCTTTTCTCATTTATATTCTCCCACGGGATCAGTGATCACCATGCACAGACTGCCAGCATAATGTCAACTAAGACAATTGAGGCTTAGAAGTGACCTGAGTCAGCTGGCAGACTTTTACAAACTCTTACAAAAGGAATCTGCTGTGTGGTGTGTGTGTATATTATATATCTATCTATTATTATACAGGATTTATATATTGCCAACAGTTTGCACAGCGCTTTACAATATAGGGAAGACATTACAAATCAATATATATTTATTATAGCCGCGTGGTCATGGAGTGCTCAGGTGTGAACCTGGCCTAAGTGTTTTGGGCAGATTACAGAGAATTGGGCATTCTGGTTTGGTTTAGAGTAGGGATGCACAGATACCAAGTACTCTAGCGGGCATTTCATAGGCAGCTGAGTACAGGTACATGGGGTTGGACTGACGGGTTCGGGGGTGTGCTAGGGGGCTGCATGTTGAGGGGGTCACGGTCGGGGTGGTGACTTCAACGCTTGCGGGTGGTGGGTTACTGGTCTTACTGCACGTGCACTTTTTTAAAAACGGCTGTAGAAGCATTGAGGGCACTCACACTGCCCACATCTTTCATTTTTGGAATTGCAGCAGAGGGGTATTCCTTTTTCAGCCACGGCAAGGAAAGCAGAGCTGTTCAAACTGTTTTTTCCCCCGGCCACCGCTAGCGTCAGGTCTGAGCGTATGTCTGATCAGACAATGGCTACCTCGTTGACGCAGATCCATTCCGCATTGAATGTGATCACCACCTCATTGCACGAGTTGCAGCAGAGGACGGAAAATTTGGAGAAATTGGTCACTCCGGTTCCTGCAGCAGCGGCGCAGGCTCCTACAGGCACGGATGTGGTTATTCCGAGTACGTCCAGCACGCGGGGGGACGCTTACGCAGGTACGTCGGGTTTTCCCCCTAATATCACACCTGCGCACTTCTTGCCAGCTAACCTGAAAAAAGATATACTGGAGGGCAAGGATGTGAACCTAGCTTCACTGCTCATTGCCACGCATGATGTTACGGATAACAAATCCTTCGCATGCGGCGATGTTTCTGTCATACTGAAGGCCAGGGATCCTCGGTTGAACCGCAAGTTGACGGTGTGTGAGTTTGTTTTGGCCTTCGGTATGTACAGGGACGTGGTGTGCTCTGCGAGCCCCGCTCGCAGAGAGGAGTTGGATATGTACTTGCATTTGGTGATAGATTTAGCGCACAAGTACGGAGGCTTCGCCTTCTATGACTACCACAGGGCTTTTTCGGCAAAGGCCGCTGCCGGCCTGGCCCAATTTCAGTACGTGTCCAACTGGGGTAGAATAGACACCGAGCTTTTCTGCAGGCACTTCGCGGGGCTCAAGGCGCCGGTATGCACGATATGTCAGTCATCCGCGCATACGGCCAACTGGTGCCCCACCCCGGCATGGGCGGAAGCAACCACGGTTCTCCAACCTTAGGGGTTATTACCTAATCCGTCCAGCGGTACCTCCACACAGTATGACAAATTGGGTAGGCCGATCCAGTGCCTGGGGAAAGGTCAGATCTGTAACAATTTCAATTACAAATCTTGCAATTATCCACAGTGTAGACTGTTGCACATCTGTTCGGGCTGCTTCAGGGCGCATCCAAAGATCAAATGCACGGTGCGCAGCGTGCAACCGTCGTGACTAAGCAGGGTAAATGTGGGGGCTCTGGCGCAGTATTTGAGGGACTATCCTAACCCTGCGTTGATGAAGTTTCTGGTAGACTGGTTCACTTCGGGGTTCCATACTGGGCTGATTGCACTGCCACAGACTTCACACGAATGTCCCAATTTGTTGTCAGCTGCCGCTGACCCGGGTAGAGTTGATTCTTTGTTGAATATTGAGCTGGAGAAAGGTTTTGTAATAGGCCCGTTCTCCGAATCCCCATTTTCAGCATGGAGGGTCAACCCCATTGGCCTGGTTTGTGGCAAATTCTCCAATAAATATCGATTTATACTGGAGGGCAAGGATGTGAACCTAGCTTCACTGCTCATTGCCACGCATGATGTTACGGATAACAAATCCTTCGCATGCGGCGATGTTTCTGTCATACTGAAGGCCAGGGATCCTCGGTTGAACCGCAAGTTGACGGTGTGTGAGTTTGTTTTGGCCTTCGGTATGTACAGGGACGTGGTGTGCTCTGCGAGCCCCGCTCGCAGAGAGGAGTTGGATATGTACTTGCATTTGGTGATAGATTTAGCGCACAAGTACGGAGGCTTCGCCTTCTATGACTACCACAGGGCTTTTTCGGCAAAGGCCGCTGCCGGCCTGGCCCAATTTCAGTACGTGTCCAACTGGGGTAGAATAGACACCGAGCTTTTCTGCAGGCACTTCGCGGGGCTCAAGGCGCCGGTATGCACGATATGTCAGTCATCCGCGCATACGGCCAACTGGTGCCCCACCCCGGCATGGGCGGAAGCAACCACGGTTCTCCAACCTTAGGGGTTATTACCTAATCCGTCCAGCGGTACCTCCACACAGTATGACAAATTGGGTAGGCCGATCCAGTGCCTGGGGAAAGGTCAGATCTGTAACAATTTCAATTACAAATCTTGCAATTATCCACAGTGTAGACTGTTGCACATCTGTTCGGGCTGCTTCAGGGCGCATCCAAAGATCAAATGCACGGTGCGCAGCGTGCAACCGTCGTGACTAAGCAGGGTAAATGTGGGGGCTCTGGCGCAGTATTTGAGGGACTATCCTAACCCTGCGTTGATGAAGTTTCTGGTAGACTGGTTCACTTCGGGGTTCCATACTGGGCTGATTGCACTGCCACAGACTTCACACGAATGTCCCAATTTGTTGTCAGCTGCCGCTGACCCGGGTAGAGTTGATTCTTTGTTGAATATTGAGCTGGAGAAAGGTTTTGTAATAGGCCCGTTCTCCGAATCCCCATTTTCAGCATGGAGGGTCAACCCCATTGGCCTGGTTTGTGGCAAATTCTCCAATAAATATCGATTGATTTATGATTTGTCGGCTCCGCATTCTTTACGTATCCCGAGTTTAAATTAGTTGATTCCATCGGAGGAAATTTTCCCTTAAATATTCCTCGGTGGATCAGGCGATACAGTACATCATCGAGGCGGGCATGGGGGCTTGGTTGTCTAAAGCAGATATCTCGGACGCATTCAAACTGCTGCCTATCAAGCAGTCATTGTGGCAATGGCATGGGGTGAAATGGAGGGAGCTATATTATTTTGCTGTCAAACTGACCTTCGGGTCGAAGAGTAGCCCATGGTTATTTGACACGTTCGCACAAACTCTTCACTGGATTTTGGAATGTCAGGTAGGTTGTCAGGGTCTTGCACTATCCGGATGACTTCTTGCTGATTGAGTCAACCGATAGGGTACCTCGGGACCTCGGTGGCTTGTTGGGTACGTTCGAGGTGCTGAACGTCCCTGTGGCTAGCCACAAGGTCGAAGGTCCTCTGAGGGTACTGACGTTTCTGGGTATCATTCTGGATACAGGTGCCATGCAAGCGAGCTTGCCACTGGAGAAGCTGGTTAGGATCAGGGACGCTTTGCACTTACTGGTGGTGTCTCCAGTGTGTTCCAGGAGGGAGTTGCAGTCGTTATTAGGTATGTTGAATTTCGCCATGCGTATTGTCCCGCAGGGGAGGTCTTTTATTTCCAGGCTGTTAGCATTGTTACCGGAAGCACCTGAGCAGGATTCGTTAGTATACATAGATGCCGCTGGGCGAGCCGACTTGGTCATGTGGGATGAGTTCATGCAGCATTGGAACAGAATTTCTATGTTTATTCCGCAGGCCTCTCCCGATTCACCACTGGTAGTTACGGACGCATCTGCTGTCTTGGGTTTCGGTGCCATTTTTGGCCCACATTGGTTTTCTAGCTCTTGGCCTACGGAGGTGAGGGATATTCCTGTCTTCGCACATACTTCTGCGTTGTTCGAGATCTATCCCATTGTGGCGGCTGCTAGGGCGTGGGGCCCATTATGGTCCGGCCGTACAGTGACTTTCCTTACAGACAATCAGGCTACCGCAGAGATCATTAATAAGGGTAGGTCGAAATCACTGGTAATCATGTCTTTCATGCGTAGGTTGACTTGGCTTTCTCTGCAGCACAAGTTTAATATTTCCTGTTCTTACATTCCTGGTGTGTGTAATCAGGCAGCGGACGCACTGTCTAGATTTAAAATCTCCGCTTTCTTCCAACAGAGACCCGACGCAGACGCAGTGCCTACTCCCGTGCCGGCCTTCCAGTTACTGGTGTTGGACTGAGGGGACACCAGTTGAACGCAACTAGGCTTATCAGTGATTCCTTGTCCGCAAATACCAGGAAAGCGTATGACACGGCATGGAAGGCTTTCAGGGGGTTTCAGGTCCGATATGCCACGCAAGATCCGGGTAGCTTGTCATATATACTGGCCTTTATTTCCTATTGCCATACGGATTTGAAACTGGCCTATAATACCATCAGGTTATACCTTGCGGGGGTGCAACATTTCCTATCCCTATCGTACCCGGATAGACAGAGTTTATTTTCAGCACACCCTGTGAAAGCTATCCTTAAGGGGTTACAGAAAGCCGGGAGACAGGCGACGCATACCCGCCTACCCATTACTGGTCACTTGTTCCGGGCAATGTCAGGCATGTTGGATAACTCGCCTTTTGGCATCTTGCAGAGCCTAGTATTTAAAGCTGCAATTTATTTGGCTTTTTACGGGTTTCTGCGACCGGGAGAATTCACTTGCTCCGGCGCTAGTGCCGTAGGCATCCGCAAGAAGCAGTTGGTCAGGTTCCCCGGTCATTATGTGTAAACGTTGGCAAGGAGCAAAACAAATCAGGTAGGTGCACCTACCGAGATAAAGTTTTTTCCTTCCGGCAATCTGTGGTGCCCTGTGACAGTGTTGGACAGTCTCATGTCCAGTTTGATCCAGAAGAAGGAGGGCAGTCCGTTGTTGCCTTTTCCCGGTACCTCGCTGACCGCCAGTCAGTTCATAAGTCATGTTAGGGTACTACTTAGCCAGTTAGGGGTTAATCCCAAGCTGTACTCCGGTCATTCCTTTCGCATAGGGGCAGCGTCAGCTGCGTCACGTCAGGGAGTCCCAGCTCATATAATCAAGCATTTAGGACGTTGGAATTCTTCATGCTTTAACAGGTACATACCGGATCCACAGGTAGAGTTAGCTGACGCTTTCACTAAGTTGGCCGCATAGTGTAGTTACGTGTCATGGTCATCCAAGTTGGTTTTTGCCCCCTTATTGGCTTTACTGACCACCCGGGCCATGGCACACCTTAGGCCCTCTCACGTAGCAATCCTCATGTGAAGTGGACTCCTTACACAAGTTGGAAGGCTAATGTGTTAGCCTGAATTTGTGGGGGGAGTCTGCGCCTCGTTACCTCATAAAAGGCACCGCTGATCAGGCTGTACGGGACGGGAGGTTCTCAGAGTAACCCTCCCACCCGTCCCTTGGGCCAGTACAGTCAGGGGTTCAATTCAGTTCACTCATTCACACCATCAGAGTATGCCCCCTTATTGGCATTACTGACCACCCGGGCCATGGCACACCTCAGGCCCTGTCACGTAGCAATCCTCATGTGAAGTGGACTCCTTACACAATATATATACATACATACATACATACATACATACATACATACATACATATATATACACACACACAATTTTTTTTTTTAAACATCCTTGAAGTATACATGTCACCCTCTGGGCCAATCTCTAATCAGTTGGTAGCATCAACTTTAGAGGAAAAATACTGGATTTAATCTACATGTATATGTGCACACTGTCATGTAAATATGCTTACTAATAACGTGATAAAAATGTTGATTCTGTGAGAACATTGTAAATATGTATGTGCAAAGACCCAGTCACATTTTCTCAAAACGTATGCCAACCCATTCTGCTTGATGGGACTTCAAGCATAGCTAACAATCTATCTCAGCAGTCAGTAAGCATCTTAGCTTATGTAGTGGACTACAAGAAGACCTGCATATGAACTGCAATGGTCAAAAAAATGGAAGGGCAAACAAGTAAAAAAAGAATTACAGATGTTAGATGTTACAATAGCTTGAAATGTACAATTACTGAAAATACATTATAGTTGGCCATTAGGCATCAAACTGCATGTGAGGTATCCTCCAATGTCTTACACGACTACACAAATTTTGGTTTATTTATCTAGGTTAGATCTAGATACATTCATAATGATAAGATGTAGAAATAAACATGGGCCAATAGGAATGGGTGGAAAGTAGAAGGAAGTTGGCAAGTTTTGACACTACCTGAAGTGTTGAAGTTTTCCAAAATTGAATAGCCCAGGATTCAGACACAGGGAAGATTTATAGATTGTGAAGGTATGTACGGGCATCTCTGGGTACCTGCACCTACATTTTGTCTTTCTTTTTTTTTGGATGGCAGGTAGACTAGGGGCATCAAGTCTTTGTTTTATGCAAGTCTAAGTAAAATAAGTGTATCACATTCAAGAGTGGAACAAACAAGTACACCGATGCCTTAACCAGCAATAAAATCCCCACAATGTGCTCTTTTGGCCCTATTTTGTAACTTACAAACATTTAAAAACCTGCATGCTCCCCAAGTAATAACACCTCTGTGCACCAAGCATTCCAATTGCAAATGGACCAGTAAGCACAAACCCTTCTGATTACAGTTACATTTTATTGAACTCTTACTTGTCCATGTCTTCTCGAGCAACTGCCATGTGATAGGCCACTTCAAGTGTGAGCACTCCCTGGAATAACTGTGTTCCAAGGTTAAGGTGCGTCTCAACATTCTCAATGGCATAGAGTGCAGAACACACACAGTCAGATGCAGCTTCGTGTAAATTGGACGATGTTTGGTCCTGTTGCTAAAACAAACAAAAAAACAAAAATGTATGTTTAATTCTGTGTAGATTTATTGCATTTACCTTATTTTTAAAAACGTAAACCAAGAGTTTTGAAAATATTCATAGCAAGCACTTTTCATATCAAGGTAAAGCCCAATTCCAATCAAAAATAATTCTGCATGGAGCGAAGAAAAAGTTAGAACCTCTATCAGGTTTTTACTGTTGTGTCCCTGTTGGAGATTTCTCTTCACTTCCTGTTCCAGTGACCACAAAGGAACTGAGCAGAACCTTTGCACAAAAATACATACTGCAGTAAAGTCTTACCAGGGGTTTTATCGCTTCCCATTATTGCAGTCTCTGCTGGAGAGATTTGGTGTCACTTCCTGTGCCAGGGGACAACCCAGAAAGTGGGAGACATTTAACATGGAAGTGAATAAAACATTGCTGCTGTAGTCTATTGAAGTGAATGTCACCAAAAAGTATTAAAAACACACTCTGTAAAAGACCAAAAATGTAGCTGTACCATCACCCATGCCTCTTTGGTCTCTTAAAGACATACACTGGGCAAAGAATATTCCGCATTGGTCACAGGTGCGTCGGACACCTGCATCCACTGCTGTGGTTTCACCTACCAACAGCTACGTTACTACCTCTCTGCTGAACATGTCAGTGTGTCAGATGATGAAAATTCTTCAACCAATATAACTCTTCAACAGCGAAGATTAAAGGCGCAGGTATAAAATCCCTTTCCTGGAATCAATCAAGGGACACAAGAACTCCTAAACCTTCTGGTCCAGTCCCCAAGCCCACATAGGGATTGGACACTGGCAAAAAAAAAAAAGACAGTAGGTCAGCCCAGAATAGCCCCAGTTTTGTTACAAAGCAGTACTGTGAGCATGATCATCAACACAAAGGGGTGGAATCTGAAGTCTTTAAACCTTCAAGACGTCCATAAACAGTCCAACTGAGGGGTGAGCAACACAGCATACAATCGCTACCAAGCACAAGAATAACAACTAAACTAGGGACTGCTTGCAACTTAAAAGAGCAGTCTGAAGGACCTTTCACTTGAAGATGCCACAGGGTAACAGAAAGGCAGAGCACATGTACATAGGTCTTATTCAAAGTATGAGAATGAAACATAGAAAAAGTAGAAACTTGAGCCTTGATAGTCCCGAGAGCCAAACGCTGCTCAAGAAAGGAGAGAAAGGCTGCAGGAAGGGAAGAATTTGCACAATAGGGAAACTCCTGGGGTGGAAGCCACAAGACTCGCACCAAGTGAGTTATGCCTTCTTATCAGATGACGGCCCTTGCGAGAAGTAGACTTCCCAACTTTTAGCAATGTAGGAATCGCAGACTCAGATATGCCTTGTCCTTAAAAACCTGGGCTTAAACAGCCATGTTGTTGCAGCCAGCGACCTTGAAGCAGGACACCAAAATGGGCCTGATGATCCTGTAGAGGCTACTGTAGTGTCAGCCAGGAGTCTTAACAGGTTAAAAACCATCACAACTGATATTTCACACTACAAGTATCTGTTCCATGCTTTCAATAAGCAAGGTATCTCTTAAGGGATTTTGACCAATAAGACATTGTTTCACATTGCGGTCAGAATCAGGTGAAGGACAGGACAGAGAGAAAAGTGCTCTAGAAAGGGGTTCCAAATACTTATTATTTGGGTCCCTGAAAACTGGCACATCCTCCACCATCGTGTTAAGAGAAGAAACTGATCCACAGTCAGAACAAACCACTTTTGTACAGAATTCTCACGCAGATACAAGGCTTGGGGTTAACAAGTAACTTATCAGGATGTTCCCAATCTGCATGAAGAAATGGTTGGAAAAGCAAGTGCAAAGGGAAAGGGGCTGTGGCCTTAAAAAGTTTTAAAGGAACCAAGACTGCAGACAGCACTGGTAGAAGCAACAGGCCCACCCTCTAGTTGCAGAGTGGTGTGCACTGTGTCCAAAGGAGGCCCAAAAGGTCTACTTTAACTTATAAATAATAGGGGCAAGCTCATTGGTCAAGGAGAGTCTCTGCAGCCAATGGCTTGTAAGCTGCTACGGCTGCTGGCAAATAAACAATCTGTAGGAGAGGGCGGAGGAACAACTCTGTGATCAGAGTCAACAAATAAATAGGTGATTTGAGCGATAAAGTCCTGCATGGCTGTGGTAAACACCTCGGCCGAAGAGGCAGAGGACCCAGAGTTACACCCAATAATAATAGATAAGACTCAAAAACATGACAGCAGATGTTAACATGACTCTTCTCTGCAGACACGGGCACTGTTTGTAGGCGCACTGCAAACACACCAGGGCAGGGGGATTGTTCCCCTTGTGTCTAGAATCAATTATGTTGCAACCATGTTGCAGAAAGGCTGCATACAAAATCAAATAAGAGACAAGACCTCAGGTACTCATGATATCCACAGAGCTGGTAGCAGGTAAGGGACAAATGGCCAGAGGTGATCAAAGTAACAAAGTGGGGATATGATTCCTACATACTGTAAAGAGAGAAGAACAGAGCACTAACTCCTTCATCAGAAAAAAAAGTGTGTGTGTGTGGGGAGGGGACTGGGAATTAAGACACTCAGGAACCCTGTAAAGGAGATAAACCCTGGTGCTCGGGCTAACCAGAACCTTCTCACTAAGTGGGTCATCATAGAGAGGGCAAGTACTTAGGCAGTGCCAGCAGCTCTGGACCTGGAAAGTGCTCCACAGTTACCTTTTACCAAAATGGTGTATGGAAAGGGCTCCACCAGAACCCAATGGCCTAAGTTGACACCTGCAATCTAAGAGACAAAGCTCCAGCAAAAACCCAGAGTAGAATCTTAACTGAAGAAAAATAATTGAAAAAAGAAACCGCTAGCAAAAAAATAATAGGTTAGTCTAATACAGCAGAGCTGAAGAAAAGATGTCCATCCTCTTGGAGCACTAGGGAAAAAAAACTGAGGTATGCTGGTAGAAGGGCTATCCTGGGATTGCCTAAAGTTTTTTTTGCTTGCCAGTCCCCATTTGTTCTGTAGGCGGCAGTATAACCTGTGTGCCTAAATGGAGGAGAAAGAAGGTTTTGCCCTTAATGATGCTTCGTTATAGGGAACATTTAGAAATGTATAATATGCGACGGTGCCTAAGCACTCTTGTATATCTGCAGCGTGATATCTAAGGCACTTCTGCCTCCGACTGCTGGTCTTGGGAGATTTGAACTTAATACTTGATGCTGTCAATACTGTACTGCTCATTGTTCACCTTGATGGAGGCTTCCACAGGGGGAGGCAAAGCCCTGTCTTTACCAAGATGGCCCTCTCCACAGAGAGAGACAGTACAGATAAAGTCAGTAATGGGGGAAAGACCAGCTGCAGAAAGTCCACAAGCAACATTGATGACTAGTCATTTGCCCTCTGCCTGCCTTTTTTGGACACAGCTTCTAGAGTTCAGTTTGTCCGTAACGCTGAAGTCCAGGCAGAAATTGTATTGCTCGTGTGAAAAGGTGCTTTCATACCTTTAAATATTCTATTCTAGTTTCATATATACAGAAGTTAGCACTGAAAAATCAAGACTTCATTCATCCAGAAAAATTCCTCCATCCATTTCAAAAGACCAATGGCCTCTATGCCCGCTATTCCCCCAGCCAACGGTCTTGCAATATCCCATATGTGGTTGTTTTTTCAGGAAGCAGTGAAACAATTACTTGCGGTAGTGGAAGGACCCGGGTCTCGGTCCTCTGCTCTGAACAGCACACTAACTGCTTTGTTTGACTGACAGGCCAAGAGACTTCTGCTCTGTCACACCTCCCCTGATCGACAGAACAGAAGACTCCTGGTCTGTCACACGCAAGATCATCAGTTCATGCAAATAAGCACTGAGTTCACTGTAAGCATTCCTCCTTACAACTACAATATTGGTTTGTGAGGAGCAGGCACACTTCTGATCACATCCCTTCCACAGAAATGCCCAATGTGTAAATTAACTCTCATGGCATTATAGGAATTTTAGAGCTGCAACAAAAACTAGGAGAAAGTGGCGTTAATACTTCTAGCATTCCTCCGCTGCCTGGGCATCGGAGAGTGTTCTTGTAATCAGTAAAGATGTCACTGGCTTTTAAATTGTAATTTTGAATGAACTGTGCATATATGCATTAAAAAACAAAAAACAAAACCACATACTCATTTTTACTGTACTAAAGGAAAATAATCATTGGAGGGATTTTCTTACTATGCCAGTGTTCAGCTTTAACTTACCAGGACCTGGAAGAGCAGCATCAAGAGACGGTTATTAGCCATGAAGTTGCTGTCTAGGACCCCCAAGTTAAACCAGCTTCCTAAACATTTGAATGTCTTAATCAGCATCTTTTCATTGTCCATTGCCTTCTCCACACAAGACATCTAAAAAAAACAAAAACAAAGAACAATACATCACCGGTTTTACCCTTTTGCCATCTGACCAATTTGTCCATTTTTCACACACATGCGAAAACAGAAAGTTGGTTGTTGCAAACTATCTTGTAAATATGTGCAAATGTTTATCAATTCTATATTTCCAATAACAAATATGTTAAAATTAATTTCAGCACACACAAACGACCGATAACCTTCATTTTATTTTTTGTAAAAGATGAGAGACTGTTAGGTCAATAAATGTCAAATATGTGAACCTTCAAAAGTGCATGCAGCCAGGAGATGGAGGAAAACCATGGTACCTAAAACTGTCAATTGCTGATAAGTTTAGATTTAACCGTGACATTTTCCTCTCACTCTAGTGGCCACAAGAAAACCCAATAAGTGTTGCGTAATCTGCATTTATACATGTATGTGCATCATAGGTGTGTCTATGTCAGCACACCTGAGCGTGGGCTGGTGGGTAATCTTTACATTTTTCTCCTCATTTATTTTATTATGTTTTAAACATTTTTTTTTCTCCCAAAGTTATAAACCAGCTTTTGAGAGAAAAAAAAAATGCACACACATTAATAAAATAAGAAATATGCATTTATAATTTTTTTTGCATTGAAGACGTCAAAGCACTGCAACCAGTGGATCGCAGGTGCATACTCTACCTCCCAAGTGCCTCTCTGTACCAAAAGTACAGGCTTTCAGTTAAAGGACAGGAGGAAGTGTCAAAGGACAAACAAGTGTGGTTATATCACTGAACTTTTACTCCATTAGGAGGACCTTAACCCATATCTTTAAAAGTAACAACAGACACACCTTGAGGCTAGGTTCACACCTAGGCGACACGATTCCGCGCGGTCAGGAGTCGCCAAGGTGTGAACCAATCGCGTTGTTGGTGCCATTTTCTAATGACACCCCAGTCGCGCCAGGCAGATCACGCGGTTGCCTACCGCGATTCCGCCTGTGCTTTCGAACACAATCGCGGCTAAAACAGCTGTGCGTCTTGTATCGCAAAAAAAAAAGGAACTTGTACCTTTTTTTCTGCAATTGCCGCGCAGATATCACCACATTGGAATCAATGGGGCCGCGCGGTAATCTCCGACTGCATTGTACAGGACCGCGCGATCCCGGGACGCGCGTGGTGTAGTGCAGGAGTGAACCTAGCCTTAGAAATGTTTAGTAATGACAATCTACAAGCACACACATCTAGATAATTGCCAGCTTTGTATTCTTTGCATACCTTATTTCTCTTTTCTTCCCCAGTCTTCTGACAGCGGCCATGTTTGCTAAGGGCAGATTACTAGCTCTCCTATTACTTCCTGGAAATCTGGCACATGTGACCAGGACATGTGACCATGCACATCATCTCGGGGGAGGAAAATGCCTTTCCCTGATATCGTGTGAGATTACAGATGGGATTGCCCAGCAATGCTCTGCTGATGACCAGGCAATCCCAGGGTGCATTGCTTTGGCAAACTGAAGTCATTTTGCCATTTTAAAGCAGGAAGTGAATGCTCCGCAAGTATATTTAAAAAAACACAGCATTTTACACCCGACATATCTATGTTATTATTACTCATCATACATAGAGGGATGCATTGGTAGAGTTTGATTTTTGAGTGTAAAGGTTCCGCAATAAGAACTATGGGTACCCTCTGCCGTGGTGGCAGAGGGAACTTGTAGTCTCACCATTCACAGATCCTGTGGAAGAATCTGAATGGATGTTGCAGCTGTGTGAGCAGAGCCACGCATGACCATGTCAATTACAAAAGATGCTTCAGGAAGAACAACCCCGGGATATATACGTAAGGGGGAAGTGGCTGGGTATGGGACCATGTTTTTAGGAAGGTGGCGTTACTCTAAGTTTATGCCCATAACAAAGAGACTCACATATGTGACTTTTGTACAATGATGTTCTCTTATACATTCCCTACGAGATCATACAGACTAGGGACAGAGAGCCCCCAAACCCCTCCTTACCTGGCCAAAGATGGCCAGGATTTGACAGTTCTGAACCTGGAATTGCCCAAGGATGAGCTCCGCTGGTTTAACAGCATGCTCTCCAACCTGATGCTAATTTTTGTGGTTCAGGGAACACGAGAGGCAGCTGAGCCCAGAAACTACAAAGTGGGGGAAGATTAATTTGAGAGAAAAACACAAAATACAATACTTTAAAATGTGAAGACTGGCAGGCTATGACCCTGGCAGTCAAAAGGCTATAAGCACCAATTACGCGAAGGAGTATGCTTAGCAGTCACTGCGGTGTAAAGACAGGTATGGGTAATTCATGATCAGAATAAAACATATAGCAAGCAATTAAACTGCATAGCATTTCCACAAATTCTTACCAGAAGAGATATTACAGTACTAGAATAATAGGCCAAGTCCTCAATGATCTCAGATCGCCGGTTAGCACCAATACGCAGAGATCGGCTATGAACCTCCTCTGGTAGTACAGTAAGAATCTCCAGGAGGAAGGACAATGATGATGCGTCATTACCATAGCTACAGGGTAAAACAAAACATCAAAGAGAAAGATGGTTAGAGAAATGTAGTATGCATGTACTAATCTTCAAATGAAGTAACACATGTGACACAAAACATGCAGACAAGCCTGGAACATTAGGCATACATGTAAAGTACTTACGATTCTACAAGCGTTTGTACACAGCCTTTCCAGGAAGCCATCTGCAGGGCAAGATCTGCTATTGCTAAAGCCAGCTACAAAACAAGAGTTTTCTGTTAAACCAACAGATCCCGATCACAGCCATACTTCAAAATCTCTTCCAGCACTTACAAATAATAAAAAAAAAATTAAAAAATGCAAACATTCAGTTATCTACAAACTCAGCATGTCTTGTGCATGTTTTCCCCTTTTACAGATGTTGAAACTTACAGTATAAAACAGGCAGCTAAAGTCTACACAGTGCCTTTATGTTCTAAAAACCTTGGAGAAAAGCAGACTATCTTCATTAAAAGGAGAACTATGAGGTGAGTGCTTTTCACTCACTTCATAGTTCTAGCCGACCTGTGACAATGAGACTGTCACAGGTCGGCTCAGCAGATCGGGAGGTGAGCGAACACATACCGGGTTCCCTCACCTCTCGATCCTGTTACAGCTCTCTGCCGTGACAGGGGGAGGGGCTGGATTCCCCTCTCCCCGGCTCCGATCTGCCAGCGCTGACTGGCGGAACGGACGGGGGAGGGGCCGGGTACAGCTGGCTCTGCCTCTAGATAGGCAGAACCAGCTGTCACTCACGCAGCTGGGCGGATCCCGTCATCTACGTCGGGATCCGCTTCGGCGTCTCAGTATACCGCGAGCTGTAGCTCGCGGTATACTGAGCTTTGGGTGAACGCTAATTTGTGTCCTCCCGTTACCCTAAGGAGAACTATGGGGAAAAACACTGACCCCATAGTTCTCCTTTAAACATCTAAACTGAAAGTTTAAGAGGTGCAGTGATCATGTTTATTGGCTGACAAAGCAAAAAATGAAAAAAAACAATTAACAGACAATTAAAAAAAAGACAAAAAAAAAAAAATAGGAAAGGAAGGGCTTTGGTAGAGAGGTATAGAACCATGCATAAATAAAATATATCAACATGTATTTGCATATAAATAAAAATATTCCATATACATAATTACAATAAAAGTGGTTCTCCACTTTTATTGTAACTATTTATATGCAAATAAATGTTGATATATTTTATTCATGCATGGTTCTATACCTCTCTACAAAACCCTTTCTTAACTATTTTTTCTGTCTATATACACATTAGGGTGAGAGGTGAATACAAGGAGCCAAGGTAGAGGCGACCCACAAGTTTTTTTTAAATGAAGAGAAAGAACTAGATGTCCTAAGCTTTCCGAGTTGAATGACGGTCAGCATCAAATCACTTCCTCTGAGCCCAGGCTGTCATGAACCCACCCACAGCCCATGACAGAACAGTGAAAAAGACAGCAGCATAGTAATGAGGTTTTCTCTTCCTATCAGCAAACCGATTGGCTCCTTGCATGGCTTCTCCCTATCACACCTGAGCCTTGCTGTACACAAACTGCAAGAGGCTTACTGTATGTGCTTCCACTGCTTGCAATTAAAAAGAGACTGACACTGCAGGAGGATTGGAAACTGGCAAACAAAAAAGGTCATGCCAAGGCCAACACCTCCTGCACCCAGCATGTCTTAGTTTTGTAGCACAGCAGTAAGGAGCGCATGATAATAAAGAGCAGTGGGATCTGTGTTCCTTAATAGACTGCAAGAAATCGATTTTAGAATACAGCACTAAAATCCAATTTTTTTTCCATGTCTATTAAGGAAGTCAAACCCTTGGGACAAACAAAAGCAGTTCAACAGCAAAGGAATACTAACAGGCCTAGGAATAACAGAACTGAAGACTGCTTGCAGCTCAAAAGAGCCAGCTAAGGGACCTTGCCCCTGAAGCGGACATCAGATGAGACCTGAACATCCACCTAGAGAATGGTACAGAATACCAGGTGGCAGCCCTGCAAATCTGGGAAACAGTAGCCTGATACCAAACATCCCAAGAGACACCCACGGATCTAGCTGACTGAGACCTGACAGAGAAGGTTGAAACCCAATACTTAAGACTATAAGTTTGAGCTCCTAAAGATGGTGGAGCAAGAAGACGATGCACCTTTTGGGTGGATCATCTGGCATGACAAAGAAAGTTAGTCTTTCGGAAGGATGGATGGATCTGTTTTTTTAATGTTGAATACAGATATTCATTAATTTGCGTCTTCCCAGCTTTAAGTTATTAAAAATGCAAGGAATACCCCCGGTCGGTTTATTTCTTGCTGCCTGTGTCCTGATTGGGGGGGGTGGGGGGGGGGGATTACCATTCGCTTCTGATTCCAGAGATACAAGTGAGAGGATAGATCTTCAAAGTGAGGGAAAGCCCGCTCCTAATTGTCACAGGAATAGGTACCCCATCAAAAGACTTCCCCCTCTAGTCACCTTCGGGCTTGATAACTCTGGTTGCCAGGACACAGACAGGAACAGAAACCTGTTATGGGCTGTAACCCTTCGCCAATCTATCCTATACATAAACTTAAACATAACATGCTTTCTCACAAGCATGCACTAAAATTCTTTCATTTATATTTGTATATGTAACACTGAATACCCCGAGATATTGGGCAAAGAGCCTCAACTTCAGAGCTCATAATCTGAGTTTACACCAAATCTGCTTTTAATGTTTGGATCAACTATACATACACTTCAGGGCTAAGGCACAGAGGCACCTGCACTTATACAACATACATTTTGCTGAACCTTCCCTGCCAGGGAACCACAGATGCGGTGCACAGCCTCACATATAAGTCAATGGCTGTACATGGCATCTATAGTCTATGTCCAGAGTTGTACATCTGTGCCCATGGATGGGTATACAGCCATAGACATACACAGGAGGCTGTAATTAGCCCCTGTAGCTTCCTGATGGGGAAAATAGGGACAAATGTATGCTGTACGGGTGCATGAGCCCTTAGTTGGGTGTTGTGCAATTAATTATTAGGTGTCCTGTGATGGCGTCCATGTTATCATTCATACATTTGACAAAAATACTGACAAGGCAGTATTTTCAAACTACAAGTCATTGTCAAACTAAGCCTTTTCACAGTCTATATACTCAATAGTGCAACACCGAAGCAAGTCTTACCTGAGTTACAATAATAGGAGACAAGTCCTTCAAGTTCTGGATATGTGACAACAAGGAGTCCCGTAGGGAAGCATGGGAGTCTGGGGGCAGCTCATAAAATGAAGTTTGAATTTTCATCTTCATGGTTTGTGCAGCAAAGTAGCAGGACTCAACATCCTGATGGATCTGTAGCATTTGGTCCGAGATCTCCCATGCATAAACCTAAGAAACGAAAGAGAAAAAGATGTCAGACAAAACTAACCCACAAATAAACCCCTTAGCTGCTGGGCGCCAAGTCTCATGTTCAACCTCAGATGGCCAACCCAATTTAGCCGTTTATCACATGCATGGTAACAATGTGAAACTTCCTCCGCTTATGGAAATAAAAGATGGCACTGTTGATTCTGCACATACCAGAGTTGAGCAAATTTTGATTAAAACAAAAAAACTTACCATAAAAAACACAAATGTTATTCAATGAAACAAACAAAGATACTAAGATCCCTACTACTTTTAAAAACACCTAATAATGCACACATTTAACATTGTGTGTTCTTGCAAAACAGCAAAAATGTATGCAAAACAGTACATAAGCAATTTACACTAAAACCTTCTGGTAAAGTGATCTATTTAGCATTATACGCAAAAGACGACCCTAAAATGATTTCCAAGCATCTATCTAACCCAGGGGTAGCAAACCTTCGGCCCTCCAGCTGTGGTGAAAATACAAATCCCATGATGCATCTCTCTTCGGGAGTCATGTCTGTGAGAATCTTGCAATGCCTCATGGGATTTGTAGTTCCACCGCAGCTGGAGGGCCGCAGTTTGGCCATCCCTGATCTAGAGCATAGATACATGACATGCAACGCAAAAGGGGTCTCGGGCATATCATTGTGTCCTAACAGTGGACAGCTCCGCATCAATGACTAGATAGATGTAAAAACGCTGTCAAAAAAAATCAACTTTACCTCCTTGGCCTTCCTAATTTATAGGTTTCCTTTGTAATTACAAGTGTACATTGAAGCAGCCATATTTACCAATGACCTAAGCAGGCTCCGCTTCCTGCTTTGCAGCACTACACAGTGGTTGGACTTCCTGCTCCTTCCGACAAGGTAAGTTTATGAATCAGATGACTCATTGGAAATAGTACAATCCAGTCTGGCAGACAGCTTATCGCAATAGTTTTAAGGTCCACCAGTAATGAGATCATTCTGAAGGCTTCATTCCTGACCTACCCTTTTTAAAAGATTATAGATTTAGTATATAGATATGAGGGCGAGTTAAAAACTATCCGTACGTCATTTTTCGACAAAATCCTTGCTTTCCAATACACTTTGTCCATCTATCAACAAGCTTTCCTATTCCCTCATTAAAACATGTTTAAAGGCTATGACACACTGCACGCGAAGCAGCGTGGAGCGGTGGCACGCTGATATGGCGGAGATATGCTGTTGTTTTTTTTGTGTCTGGAGCGGAACGGACTGCATTGGTGTGAACAGAGCCCAGAAATACCATAGGGATACATTGGGATGCTTTCTTGGTCCAGGAACAAACTGTTCTGGTCCGGACATAGAAACAAGCCCTTAAGTTTTTTTTTATGCATTTTTAAGGTTTACCTATTAACAAAAACTGGACCTTATTTGTGTATCACTCGGCTGTAGATCCTCAAATCATCTCTGAATCGGTGCGGACACTGCCCTTCCTTCTGGAGGGTGGCCACTATTGTTCCCCATGGTCCCTGTGTGTGTTGTAGGAAGCCACGGCTTCAAGCTCACTCCTGTGATGGACTACAATCTCATGTTTAGTTTACTAATTTGTATTGAGATTGTAGTCCATCACAGGAGCGAGCGCGAAGTCGTGGCTACCCTACAACACTCATGGACCATGGGGAACAAAAGTAGCCCCCCTCCAGAAGGAAGGACAGTGTCAGCACCAATTGAGAGATGATTTGAGGATCTACAGCCGAGTGATACACAAATAAGGCACATTTTTGTTAATAAGGTGCTGGAATGCATTTTTAATTTTCAAATTCTGAGTTCAGTGTCACTTTAGTGAGTCCTCAATGTAGTGGGCAATCTACAAATCTCTACATTAGATACAACAAACACAAATGTTGAAGAACAAGCATGTAAAATATAAATGTCACATCAAAAATGACTCCATGGTAATCATTGCAAAAATCACAATGTAAAATATGTCTTCACTGCAATGACACTTTCTCTTTAAGAAACACTCTGACCATAAGGCCAAATGGTGCTCTCAGCTCATAACAAGTTAAAAAAAGAGAGTTATGTGGGGTCTGACATTTAAAACCCGAAGGGAGACGACTTCATGCTGTATAGTCCACGTGCACTTCTCTTCTGAGTGCTTCTGTCAGTATGCTGTCAGCAGGCAGAACACGGAGCTACTGCAGAAACCCATCAGCCAGAGAGGTGAGGATGAACATGTCATTACAGACTTGTTCACAGATGCCAACTATTGTCTTATTTAGGATGCCACTAACAACGAATGAAGAAAGAAAGCATGGATTCCAGGGAAGAAGTGAAACCAATCAGTAGAGTCAGCAGGGCATATGACCCTTGTACTGAAGTCAGAAAGTCAGTTCATTTTTATCAGAAGTTTATGTAAACCATTACAGAAAGCTTTGCATACCAGCATCTGGGTAGAGCCGCAGAAGTTTCATGCATGACACAATCTCCCTTATCTAAGAGACCGCAAAGGACCTAGGATGAGCAAAGGTGAAAAAACCTGGCATGCTTATCTACGGGCTCAGGAACTGGTGTTCCCACAACACCAGATTACCAACAGCAGCAGCATTTCAAATGGTAGGCTGCTTTGCTGTACAACAATGTGTGTCACTGGAATGTACATTTAACAAGGAGGTTCCTTATCCAAAAAGAAAGAAGCAATGATCATCAGGGATGCTCGAATCGTCTCGCCCAAAGCCCGGGACATGTAGTTCCAGGGGCACCGGGCAGGTGGGTTTTTTTTTTATAACAAGCAGCAGGGTAAAAGTATTTTTTTATTTTTTACCTTACCAGGCCTTCTCCCTGGGGCATGTCTCCTACGTGTGCGAGGCTCTGCAGCAAGGCGGGGACCTGAACTGGCTGGCCTGGAGAACCCTGGGGGCCATTGACTAATACCGGCTGTGGAGGAAGTTACCCTTGCCTCCCACTGACACAGACGATGGGACTCCCCCATACCTTTGGTCTCGGTGGCTCAAGTAAACCCCGGTATATAGCTGTGAAGATCTGGGAATGACAAGTTTAATGTACAAGGACTGCTGACATTTGTAGTGCCCTTACACACAGGACATCAGGGCTGTCATATAAATGTTCTCTCTGCAGGCCATACGTGCACACTACAGCCCCGTAAACTCCTGGCCCCGGTCAGCAGACAGACCGGCCAGGAGTAGAAGACTTGCAGCACTGGACGTCAACCAACAGTGGTGCAATGGTCCTCAGAACCCGGTAAGTATATATCTGGGAAGGTCGAGGGTAGGATCGCTTAGGTCAGGGAAGGGGAAAAAAAAAAAAAAGAATAAGGATCCTTTGTCTAAAAATCATAACGCTTATAACTAAGTATAATTATATGCCCCTATATATGTCCTAGCTTACTCTTTGTTCAAAGCATCCTCCATCACAAACACACAACTTTCTAAAACCATACCAACGGTACTCATCATTCAGCATGTGACTGGACAATGAAGAAACAACAGCACATGAATAAAGTCATCAAATGATCACAGTGCTCTCCCAATCACAATAGAGCTGTGGCTGACACGTCCTCTCCTAGGGCTGCTCTTTATTTCCTTCTACAGGAAGTAAATATGAAAATAGAGCAAAGTATCATACCAGCAGTACTTCTAAAACATTCTCTCTGACATGACAATAACCAGAGCTCTGAACTCCTAGCATGTGGTATCAGCCCTGCCACTTCATTTCTGATGCATTAAAAAGAACACAGACCTCTCATCTTCATAACCCCTCCTTGCACGCAGGCTGAGAGCACAGGAAGTTATAAACTCACAAGATTTCACTTATCAAACAGATATAACACACAAGTTGTATAGAAAATTTAGCACATAAAATAAATTGTACCAGTTACATACACTTTAAGGGCCCATTCACATCCAGATCATCTCCAGACCATTGTCCTGAAATCATTAGTCTGTATTGTTTTGTCAGTGAGTGCTTGGTCTGGAAAAATATATATATATATATATAACACATCCCCGTAGCCAGTGCTCCTTAAGAATGACAGCTGCCTCCTAACATTTGAGTTTTTCTCTAGTCTGGGAGCTGCTGGAAAGGCATCAGTACCAGCCAGTACCAAGTATAGTACTTGGTATCTGTGCATCCCTACTCTGACCCAAACCAGAATGCCCAATTCTCTGTAATCTGCCTAAAACACTTAGGCCAGGTTCACACCTGCGCACTCCATGACCACGCGGCAATCATGCACGATACCGTGTGGATTGCCATGCGGTCACAGAGTCGCCCACCACCGCCGATCACGCTGGCGGTGCCATTATTCTCTAAAGGCACCCCAGTCGCGCCAAGCAGATTAAAACAGCCATGTGTCGTAAAAAAAGAAAGAAATCAATGGGGCGCGCGGTAACCGCAGTGTGCAGCTGCAGACGATCGCGTACGTCCCAAATTGCCCAGGTCTGCACCAGCCCTGGAATATCCCGGTAGTGCAGCTAGACGGATCACCTGATTACAATATTGATTCACTGGTTCAGCAGTCAGCATTTCAGATGAAAAACAAGCAATGGCAGCTGATACAATGTTCTCAGGTTTCCATGAACAATAACATAGCACTTCACGCCTTCATATTCCTAATAACATGATCAGGAAATCTGGGGTATCACTCAAACACATTTACACTTACAAGATTTACTTTTTTGGATGAGTGGTGTTAGAACCCCTGTCAGGTTTTTATGGTTGTCAGTGTCCTTGCTAGGGAGATTCATTCTTTTTTTTTTCTTCTTCTTCCCTTCACCGGAACTGAAAGAGGGAAACATCTAAAAATTTCCATCTGTCATTAGAACAGGAGTATAGGAAAATCTTCCAATGGGGACACATGTTCCACCACAAAATTGGCTAACCGCAGATTTGTCTTGCTTCGAAGAGATTCTCACTTCCGAATGTGTTCTCCAGGACAGGAAGTGAAGGAAACTCTCCTCAACAGGACACAGATATGAGGGGGGAAAAACTGTC